TCCTCTTCCTCCTCCTCCTCCTCCTCCTCCTCCTCCTCTTCCTCTGTTAAAAATATGGCTCTTGTCGGGGCTCAGGCCCGGCGGCACGTCGGCCTCGACGGCGACGACATGAGGGCGACGAGCAAGGCATACATCTTTTCAAAATCGACCACGTCCCAGCGGGGCGCTGCGACCCCTCCACCGTGTTTCTTATGTTGGGCGCCCAGGCTATCCAGGGTAACTCGGGCCCGGGGTAACTCGGGCTTGAATTCCCGAAAAACGAACCCGAGTTAGCCTTGACCCGAGTTACCCCTGATGATTTGGGGCTATGGACGCCCGAATCATACCGGGTAGCTCGGGCCCGATGCAACTCGGGTTCGGATTTCCGAACAAAAAAACGAACCCGAATTAGCCCTGACCCGAGTTACCGCTGATGATTCGGGGCTCGGGACGCCCGAATTATCCGGGGTAACTCGGGCCCGGAGTAACTCGGGCTCGGAATCCCGAAACACGAACTCGAGGTTGTCCTGACCCGAGTTACCCCTGATGGGTCGGGGCTCTGATATTCATTTGGTCACACATGGCCTTGATCGTTCTACCAGGCCCCCCCAAAGCGTTCGAGCGCCCGCCTTCCAGTGTACGGGCACGGCTTCACGAAGGAGACCCCGATCGACAGCGCAACCTGCCCATATTTGGCGCGCGCGAGCATCGCGCCAAAGGAGGGGTGGGGGGAATGCGGCAGGGGAGAGGGGGGGGCGAGAGAGGGAGGACTGGCGGCCGCGCACGAGGGGGTGGAGGGAGGCGGGCAGGCTTCTTGAGGAGCAGGGGGCTTTTAAGATTAGGGCGGGCGTGTCCTCCTACAGGCGGATGTTGGACGAAAAATTATCAAATAGTCAGAAATGCCAGAAATGCGAAACACATCCTACAGAGACTATTTTTTTGACTATCTTTGAATACTCCTCCGTAGAGGGACCCACGCGACTTAACTCCAAGGAGCAATCCCCCCTCCCCCCACCCCCCTCTGCGCGTAGCTGAAAGGATTCGCGGGCGAAGAACGGTATTACATCAACGCCTGAGGCGTGCCTGTCCCCGGGCGGCTGGAAAGTTTACACCCTGACGTGCATGCCACCGTAGGGGCATACACTCTCCAACCGCCCTGGGAAAGTTTATGCTGTACCGTTCTTCTGAAGGGGCCCTGGGACACACAAATAAATACACACCAATAACAGGATTCCCCATATTTTTCTGCATGTTCTGGGCTTTCGTCTTCCCCACCACCTTCCCATAGTTTCCCATAGTTTCCTGGGGATCGACGGCTCATTGTGTCTGTGTGTGTTTCTTCCCCTCCTGATCCTCGCCCGGGCAGAGGCGGAGGGCGGAGGCGGAGCCCGTCGGGAGGGGCGCCGGGGCCGAGCGCGCCTGCCGGCGTGAGCCCTCGGGCGCTCCTCAGGGCAGTTGTCTGCGCGCTCGGCCGCAGCGCGGGCCATGGCCTAAGTCGGGCGTGTCCCCCACGCAGGGGGATTTTCGACGAAAAAATATCAAATACGCCAAAAAATAAGCCGAACTTGGCAACAACTGCTCAAAGCATAGTCCCCAGCATATTTTTTGACTATTGTTGAACATTCCCCCTGTAGAGGGACAAGCCCGACTTAAGCCATGGCGAATGCTCGAGTAGAAGATCGAGCCCCAATCAAATAACATGTCGCAGCGTGTTCGTCACTATACGGGGCATGCTGCGTTCGGGTCGGGCATGTCCCCGTACAGGCGGATTCCGGGCGAACAATTCAAAATACGGGCTGCCTCTAACATGGTCGAGCATAGTTAAAACGTTCCCTATTATTTTTTGACTATTTTTGAACGTTCCTCCTGTAGAGGGACACGCCCGACTTAATGCTTGGGTGAATCAATTCTGTAGCCGATCTCATCCTTGAAGTGCGGTGGCTGGGGAGGTCGCTCGCCCCTTTGTGGTGGTGCCGGAGAGAGGAATAGGAGGCGGAGGAGGAGGAGGAACAGGAGGAGAAGGAGGAGGAAAAGGAGGAGGAGGCGACATATGGCCGATTCCGGAAACCATGAGCCCAACATATTAGACATCTCTTGGGGGCGTTGTTTGTACTTCCGCTTCCTTCCGCCAGCCTTCCGCCGGCTTCCGCCGGCGGAGCTGGCCTCGTTTTTACTTCCGCCGACCTTCCGCCGCCCTTCCGCCGCCTTCTGCCGAGAAAGAGATGGCCGCTCTTTCGATCCTCGAATATAAGGTCCTTTTTGGAACGCCCATATCATCTTGGTCGTCTTTCCTCCTCCCTGTCTGTCAGTACCTACGCTACTTCTACAAACCGCCGGTGAACCCTGGAGCGGTACTCTGGGTGTCACCTGGCCGAAATTTGATCAAGCCCTCAGGGCCGACCGGCCCGAGGGGGGGAGGGCTACGACTGGCGTTGGCTTCCAGCCAGCAGAAGTCAGGACTCGGGAGACACAAACTGTTTGGGACTGTCAGTGATGTCCTGAGCACAGCGCGCTCGAACGACTTCGACAGCGGCCTCGACTGTGTGGGGCCCAGCTCCGATCCAAGAGATCCGCGCGGAGCTCCGGAAGTGAACGTTGATGCACCTTCGCTTCCTCCTGCCTCCCAGGGAAAGCGTCCGTCGGCGGGGCCGGAGCGAGCTGCATGCAGCCGATTCGCTACCCCACCCCCGACGACCCGTGCCCGGCGTCGTGCCTCTGCTCCTGATGTGGGGACCCCTGGAGGTCTTGACCGGGGCTGGGACTGGACCCCTCTCCTCCCCCTCCCCCTCCTCCTGCTCCTCCTCCTCCTCAGCTCCTCCTCCTCCTCCTCCTCCTCCTCCTCCACCATCACACCGTACACCCCATCCCTCGTCATCCCTCCCTTCTTCAACTCACCCCCTCCTTCCCTGGCACGTCATCCTGAATCGTTTCCAAACATCAGGTCGGGCATGTCCTCCTACAGGTGGATTTGGGAAAATGCGCCAGAATAAAAACAAATACTAGAAAATACGGGAAACTGCCTCTAACATGGTCGAACATAGTTAAAACGTTCCCCTATTATTTTTTGACTATTTTTGAATACTCCTCCTGAAGAGGGACAGGCCCGGCTCAATTCTAATATGGCCCAGGGGCCTGGAGAGGGCGCCCCTGACTGCGCGGATCTACCCCCGGTTTCAGACTGCAAGCCGCACAGGAAAGGCACACAGCGGATGCGAACAGAGGACTCGGACAGGCCGAGTAGGCACGGCGGATAGCGCCGCGAAGCAGCAACGGCAAGGCAGGGCGGACATCGGCATCGAAGGACCTTGAAAAGTACCCCCCGGAGAGGGCGCCGCTGACTTCGGATACCCCCGACTTCAGACTGACAACCGTACCGGAAAGGCGCACAAAGGATGCGAACAGACGACTCGGACAGGTCCGAAAAGGTGCCCTGGGTTTTTAAGAAGCGCGGGGGAGGTACCCTTCCGACGGGGGTCAACCTCGCCTCGTCGTCGCGCCGCGACTGGGGTCAGAGCGCCTTCGGCGCGCGGTGGCTACCCGCGACGGGGGTCGATGTGTCGGCCGGGGTGACGCCCCTCCGACGCTTATTGAGAAACTCGTAGTATGGCGGATAGTTCCGTGAAGCAGCAACGGCAAGGTAGGGCGGACATCGGCATCGAAGGAGCTTGAAAAGTACAGTATGGGGCCTGGCCGCAAGAAGCCCAACCCTGCGATCCCAGGACTTCCACTGGTTTTTTGTTTTGGGAACGCCACGCTGTCCATCGCAAAACCAAGGAAGCCTAAGAAACCCAAGGCACCCTGAAAGCAAGCACTGTGTTTCTTGGCATGGGTCTCCAATTGTAGGGCGGAAAATTCCCGCCCCTGTTTGCGAAATCGTCCTAAAGGTTACGGAATATCCGAGGTAGGGGCCCTGGAAGCCGAAAACAACCGAGCACCTCCCGTCGTGATTGCTGCACGACGCGAGGATGAATGTGAGGAGAACAGTTCCCAGACACGATCGCGTCATAAAACAATCAGGACGGTATTTGTGTTTGCCAATTTCGGGCTTTCGCGGCCCTGGCCGGGCCTCGGGACCGTAACAACAACGACTCAGGATGAAAAACTGGTCCCGGGGAAAGGGTCGGGACTTCCAGGGGCCCCGCACTGAAAAAAATCAAAGTCAGGACGTCGCATGTCTGGGTTGTCGTGTTGGGAGGAACGGGTTGGGAGAATGAAGGGCATGAGCAATAACATTCGGATGCCATGCGCGATACCTTCGACCGCCCACGGGCAGTGCTATCCTCGCTTCTCCTAGCCCCATCCTCCCGACCCGATCACCGTCTTCCTGAGTAAGGGTTCCTCCGCCACTGGCGGTCTTAGAAGAAGCAACAACTGCATAAACATAAACTTGTGGCGCTCCGCGCGGATTCTTGGATCTGCGCTGGACCCCCCTAGGGGCGGCGCCGGAGGCGCCGCCAGGGGGGGCGCCCAGCGCAGATCCAAGAAGCCCGCACGGAGGAGCACCAAACAATGCGGTTGATGGCGTTTTGCTCCCCTTCGAGACCTGGAAGAAGTGCTTCTCCAGCGTGCTGCCGGCGCACTTCGGGACGTGGAAGAGCAGCAGCGGCTTCGAGTTCGACGGGAAGGGCATCGGCACCCTCGCGGCCAGGCAGCAGGAGGGAGACGAGGACCCGGCACGGAGGTTACCGTCCGCGAGTGTTGCGTGCTCTGCTCTTCTGCGGGCTCCTTCGGAGGAGGGGGGGATGAGGTTGAGGAGCACGAGGGAGGAGGAGGAGAAAGGAGGGGGAAGAGGAGGAGGGGGAGCAAGAGGTGCAGGGAGGGGGAGGAGGAGGAGGAGGAGGAGGAGGAGGAGGAGGAGGAGGAGGAGGAGGAGGAGGAGGAGGGAGAGGGGTAGAAGGGGGATGAGGAGGAAGACGAGGGACCAGCACAAATCCAAGACTCATCAACGATGTTGGAATACACCCTCCCTCCAAGCTCCCTCCCCACAAGCCACTACAAGGGTTCATGTCCACTGAGGGAACTGCCTCGTTGGGAGACAGGCGTTTGAAGACCCTGAAGCGTGCCAAAACATGAGTCTCGGACTCCATCGCCACGAATCAGCATGACGGTTGCGTCTTGACGATCCTGCAGAATCGTGCCAGGACACCATTCCTGTCAACACAGCGAATCAATGTAACTGCTGCGGCCTCACAATCCAGGGTCCTACCAACACACCGCTTCTGGCACGTTGACCATGGGAACCCATGAACATCTAGCAGAAGTTAAAAACGAGTGCGCGCGACGCGGAGGCGAGAACCACATTTTGAACAAGGACCGCCCTCAATCCGTGAAAACCTTGCAGGTGTTTGAAACAAGTGCGCGCGGCGCAAAGGCAGGAGCCTCATATTGAGAGCCACCCGCCCTCAATATGTGAAGTTCATGCGTCTTTTGAAAAGAATTCGCGCGGCGCTATGGCGAGAACCACATGTTGAAAACGACCTGCCCTCAGTCCGTACAACGAATGTGCGCGGCGCTGATGCAAGCCGCATTTTGAACACCACCCGCCATCAATTCGTGAAGCTCTTGCAAATTTGACAGACGAATGTGCGCGGCGCTAAGGCGAGAGCCACATTTTCCAGATAAATCCCTTTGGACAGGTCTCGGCTTTTCCCTCCAATCCCCCCCGTTCCCTTCTGTTTCTTAACTCTTCATCCCCCGACCCCCCTCTTTCCCACCCGATCCCCCCCCGATCCCCCCTCCGTTTCCCCCCCTGGCCCCCCCCCCGTTCCCCTCCCCCGCCGTCGTTTCTTCGCCCGCGCAGCGCCCTGCAAGACGACTTCAGAACGGACCTGAACCTCCTTCTCTCCTCTCGACACCATCCGGCATTCCTGACGCAATGTCGTCCGGGAGCACTGCCGCTTGAGAAACCGTGCATTCTACCAGCGTCGGCAAGAATTTGCCAGGATTGCTTAATTACTATGGTGCTTGGTCGGGGTGCGGTCCGCTCCACCTCCCCCATCCCCGAAAAAAAACTGGCCTGAACTCCTCGTCCTTGTCATGGTTCTCGTGCTCGCCCACGTCCTCCTCCCCTCCCCCTCCTCCCCCTCCTCCTCCTCCTCCTCCTCCTCCTCCTCCTCCTCCTCGACCTAGTCACCTAATCCAGAACTCCAGACCTCCCCGTGCTCCTGCTGCTCACGCGACGGACTCCCCCGCGGTCGCTTCCATTTTCTGGGAGTTCCCCTCCATTTTCCGGGAGCCCCCCTTCAGGTTTCCAAGAGTTCCCCTCCAAGTGGCTGGGAATTCTCTTCCTTTTCCGAGCACTCTCCCCCGTTTTCCGGGACTTCCCTTTTGTTTTCTGGGAATTCCCTTTGTTTTCCGGGAGTTCCCCTTTCCGTTTTCCGGGAGCCCATCCCCCCGGCAAAGGATCGGGGGGAAAGGGGCACGGATCGGGGGGGAAAGGCTCGGAAATGGGGGGACGCGCAGACCCCCGACGTCATGAATTCTCGATATAACGTGGACCCCCAGAGGTCTGAACCCCTTCCCCGGGACTGGTTTTGCATCCTGAATAATCTTTTCGACAGTCCCGAGGCCTGGGAAGGGCCCCCGGAGCCCGAAAATAGCGGAACATCTCCAGTCGTGTTTTTCCCAACCATCCTGTGGTGTTGGGTCCTCGTTTTGAAGAGACAGCGCCCCGCGTCTCACCTCCCGCTGCCCTCCTCGCTTCTCCCATCATCGTCATCATCATCATCATCATCATCATCATCATCATCATCATCATCATCATCATCATCATCATCACCATCACCATCATCATCATCATCATCATCACCACCACCATCATCATCATCATCATCATCATCATCATCATCATCATCATCATCATCATCATCATCATCATCCTCATCATCATCATCATCATCATCATCATCATCATCATCATCATCATCATCATCGTCATCATCACCACTAGCATCATCATCGTCATCATCATCGCCATGGCCATTAGTTTCCAACCATCCTGTGGTGTTCGCATGGCGGCCCCGCCCCATTCTGGCGCACCCCTCACACGGTTCGTGGCCCCATAGGGAGCTCCACCGAAGGCCCCAGTGGCTGCGTTCGCATGGCGGCCCCGCCCCATTCTGGCGCACCCCTCACACGGTTCGTGGCCCCATAGGGAGCTCCACCGAAGGCCCCAGTGGCTGCGTTCGCATGGCGGCCCCGCCCCATTCTGGCGCACCCCTCACACGGTTCGTGGCCCCATAGGGAGCTCCACCGAAGGCCCCAGTGGCTGCGTTCGCATGGCGGCCCCGCCCCATTTCGGCGCACCCCTCACACGGTTCGTGGCCCCATAGGGAGCTCCACCGAAGGCCCCAGTGGCTGCGTTCGCATGGCGGCCCCGCCCCATTCTGGCGCACCCCTCACACGGTTCGTGGCCCATGTGAGCTCCACCGAAGGCCCCATGACTGCGTTCGCATGGCGGCCGCCCATTCGGCGCACCCCTCACACGGTTCGTGGCCCCATAGGAGCTCCACCGAAGGGCCCCAAGTGGACTGCGTTCGCATGGCGGCCCCGCCCCCTTTCACGGCGCGGCCCTCACGAGGATCGTGGCCCATAGGGAGGCTCCACCTAAGGCCCCATGGCTGCGTTCGCATGGCGGCCCCGCACCCCATTCTGGCACACCCCTCACACGTTTCGTGGCCCCATAGGGAGCTACACCGAAGGCCCCAGTGGCTGCGCCCGCATGCGGTTCCACCCCCCATTCTGGCACACCCCTCACACGTTTCGTGGCCCCATAGGGAGCTCCACCGAAGGCCCCATGGCTGCCGTCCGCATGCGTCCCGCACACCCATTTCGGCACACCCCTCACACGTTTCGTGGCCCCATAGGGAGCTCCACCGAAGGCCCAGTGGCTGCGTCCGCATGGCGGCGCCGCACCCATTTCGGCACACCCTTCACACGCTTCGTGGCCCCATAGGGAGCTCCACCGAAGGCCCCAGTGGCTGCGTTCGCATGGCGGCCCCGCTGAATTTCGCGGGCACCCCTCACGAGGATCGTGGCCCCCATAGGGAGCTCCAACCGAAGGCCCCAGTGGCTGCGTTCGCATGGCGGCCCCGCCCCATTCTGGCGCACCCCTCACACGGTTCGCGGCCCCATAGGGGGTTCAACCGAGGGCCCCAGTGGCAGGCTTCGCATGGCGGCCCCGCCCCAATCTGGCGCACCCCGCACGAGGATCGCGGCTCCATAGGGAGCTCCACCGAAGGCCCCAGTGGCTGCGTTCGCATGGCGGCCCCGCCCCATGTCGGCGCACCCCTCACGAGGATCGTTGCCCTGTGGGGAGCTCCACCGAGGGCGCCAGTGGCTGCGTTCGCATGGCGGCCCCGCCCCATTCTGGCGCACCCCTCACACGGTTCGTGGCCCCATAGGGAGCTCCACCGAAGGCCTCAGTGGCTGCGTTCGCATGGCGGCCCCGCCCATTCTGGCGCCCCCTCACACGGTTCCTTCACGGTTCGTGGCCCCATAGGGAGCTCCACCGAAGGCCCCAGTGGCTGCGTTCGCATGGCGGCCCCGCCCCATTCGGCGCACCCCTCACCGGTTCGTGGCCCCATAGGGAGCTCCACCGAAGGCCCCGTGGCTGCGTTCGCATGGCGGCGGCCCGCCCCATTCTGGCGCACCCCTCACACGGTTCGTTGCCCCAGGGTTCGTGCTAGGGGCACTCACACGATAGGGAGCTCACGAAGGCCCCAGTGGCTGCGTTCGCATGGCGGCCCCCGCCCCATTTCGGCGCACCCCTCACGAGGATCGTGGCCCCATAGGGAGCTCCACCGAAGGCCCCAGTGGCTGCGTTCGCATGGCGGCCCCGCCCATTCTGGCGCACCCCTCACACGGTTCGTGGCCCCATAGGGAGCTCCACCGAAGGCCCCATGGCTGCGTTCGGCGCACCCCTCACACGGTTCGCGGCCCCATAGGGGGTTCAACCGAGGGCCCCAGTGGCAGGCTTCGCATGGCGGCCCCGCCCCAATCTGGCGCACCCCGCACGAGGATCGCGGCCCCATAGGGAGCTCCACCGAAGGCCCCAGTGGCAGGGTTCGCATGGCGACCCCGCCCCATGTCGGCGCACCCCTCACGAGGATCGTGGCCCTGTGGGGAGCTCCACCGAGGGCCCCAGTGGCAGGGTTCGCATGGCGGCCCCGCCCCATGTCGGCGCACCCCTCACGAGAATCGTGGCCCCATAGGAAGCTCCACCGAATGCGCCAGTGGCAGGATTCGCCTGGCGCCCCCGCCCCTTTTCGGCACACCCCTCACACGGTTCGTGACCTCATAGGGAGCTTCACCGAAGGCGCCAGTGGCAGGGTTCGCATGACGGCCCCGCCCCATGTCGGCACACCCCTCACGAGGATCGGAGTAATTCCCAACCATCCTGTGGTGTTGGGTCCTCGTTTTGAAGAGACGGTGCCCCGCGTTCCTCCTCCTTCCTCCCGCTGCCCCCTCCCCCTCCTCCCTCCCCCTTGCCTCTGCCCTCCGCATGTCTCTGTTTCGGCACATCCCTCACGCGTTCCGTGGCCCCATAGGGAGCTCCACCGAAGGCCCCAGTGGCAGGGTCCGCATGGCGGCCCCGCATTTTGGCGCACCCCTCACACGGTTCGTGGCCCCATAGGGA